ATTATAATGTATTTAATTTAAATAATTTAAGAATATTTTAAATTAATATTTTATAAATTATTTAAATTATTTAAATTTAAATTATTTAAATAAATAAAATTAAATATAAATTATAAATTAATTAATTATTTATTAAGTTATTATTAAATAATATTAATTATTTAATAATTTATTAATTAACTAATTTATTAATTAACTAATTACTTAATTAATTAATTACTTTTAATAATTTCTTTTTTATAATATAATTAATTAAAATATTCTAATAATAATTAAATAAACTTCTTTTAATAAAAAAGTAATTATTAAAGTTATAATTATTAAAATTATAATTATTATTATAATTATAATTATTATTTAAATAATAATTATTATTTAAATTAAAGTTTTATTTAATTTATAATTTTTATTTAAAGTAAAATCTTTATTTAAAGTAAAGTTTAATTTATTTTTATTTAAATAATAATCTTTGTTTTTAAATTCTTTATTTTTATTTAATATATAATTCTTTTAACCTTTTTAAATATAAAGTTAAAAACTTATAATTATAACTTTATAACTAATTTCTTATTTAATTATATTATATTATTATAATTTTATCTAGTTTAATTTAAGCTTTTCTAAGCTTATTTAGTATTTTACTCTTTAAAAAGTTAAATTTAAAGGGAGTTTTTAAGTTTAAGATTAAGATTCTTATAAATTTTAATTTACTTTAAATTAGGTTTATAATTTTTTAACTTTTTTAAAAATATATTAATTTTTTTAAATAATAATAACTTTTATTAAAATAAAGGTTTACTTTTATATAGTTATAAACCTAGTTATTAATAGTTATTTCTTTTTTTATTTATAAGTTATTAAAATTATAAACTTAAATAATAAAATATAATTACCTTACTTAAAGGTTATATTTTAGTTTATATAATAGGTTAAGTAACTACTTTTAAGTAGTCTTACTTATAAAGTAGATAGATAGGTGTTTACTTAAATAGAGTTAATACCCTAGTTAGAGGGATAGTAGCTTTATTTTCACCTATTTTAATTAATCTACCTAAGTTATATAATAAATTTAATACTTATATATAATACTCGTTAATATTAGACTAGGCAGCCTATAATTTATAATAATTTTAACTTTTAATAGGTATATATCTTATTATTATAAAGAAATATTAGAGAAAATACCCCCTTTTAAATTAACTAATAAGACCGGTTTATATTAAGGCTAATAATGCCGGCTCGAACCGACTAGGTACGGCCTAGCGTATTAATATAAGAAGGTATCTTCTAATAATAGATAGTGTTATAAATAATTATAAAGTTATTATAAAAAGTCTTATATAATAAATTTAATTAAGTTAATTTTAAAAGATATATTATATTTTATCTTTTTAGAATTTTAATTATTTACTTTTAGTTTAATAATAGAATTAAAAAAAATATAAATAGTTTATATAATTCTTTTAAAATAATTTAATAAAATAAATAAAATAAAATTTAAAATAAAATTTAAAATAAAATTTAAAATATTATTATTATTATTATTATTATTATTATTATTATTATTATTATTATTATTATTATTATTATTATTATTATTATTATTATTATTATTATTATTATTATTATTATTATTATTATTATTATTATTATTATTATTATTATTATTATTATTATTATTATTATTATTATTATTATTATTATTATTATTATTATTATTATTATTATTATTATTATTATTATTATTATTATTATTATTATTATTATTATTATTATTATTATTATTATTATTATTATTATTATTATTATTATTATTATTATTATTATTAGAGTTATAAGCTAATTACTTATAAGACTAACTAGTAGGTCTATATACTTACTTATCTTATTAGCTTAAATGACCTTCATACCTTTTATAACGCGGGATTATAGCTTCGCTACTTCCCTTATATTATTCTTTAAGTAACTCTAGTTTTAAATTAATAATTCTTTATAAATAATTTAAGCCTTCTTTTACTATAAGTCGCGAAGACTATTTTAATTACTTAATTAAATAATAAAACTAATTAGAAAATAGTTAATAAAAAAGTTAGAAAGTAATTTAAGTTTAAGTTTAAATTTAAGTTTAAGTTTTAATTTAAGTTTAAGTTTAAATAATTTAAAAGTTATTAATTTTAATTTTAATTTAAAAGAAAGTAGTTACTTTTATTATTATTACTTTTATAAGTTATTAAAAGTAGGTAAAAGTTTATTTTTAAATTTATCTTAAAATTATTTAAATAAGTTTAAATATTAATTTTTAATTAATTAAAGAATTTAAATAAGGTTAATAAAAGTATTAACTACTTCTTTTCTTATTAATATAAATATTATAATAATAGAAATACTTTTAAAACTTTTAAAAGATTTTATATTTAATTCTTATAAAATTAATTTTTAATTAATCTTTATAATAATTATAAAAGTTATTATAAAGTATATTATTTTAATAATTAAATCTATTAATTATTTAAAAGCTTAAATAGTTTTATAAATTATTAATTTCTTTTAAATAATATATTAAATAATTTCTATAATAATTATTTATATAATTAATAATTTAAATTATTATAAATATTTAGTTTAAATAAATAGATTTTAATAAATATTATTAATATACTTTTAAAAGTTATATATTATTTTAATTTATAGTTATATTATAAGTAAAATATATATTAGTTAGTAAATATTATAATTATTATAAAAATATTATTTAATAAATATAAAAGTTATTATAAGTATTTATAATTTAGTACTTTTCTAATATATTATAAAAGAAAAGAAAGTTATTATAAAAAAGTTTATTTATTTAGTTATTTATTTATTTAAGTAATATAAAGTAAGTTAGTTAGTAAGTAATTATATAAGTTAATAAGTATATAAATTATTAAATAAATTAGTAAGTAAATAGTTAAATATTAATTTAAAAGTTTAATAAATAAACTTAAATTATTTAACTAGTAAGAAAAGTTATTATAAATATTTATAATTTTAAGTCTTTTTTAATAAAAAATAAATATTTATATAAGAAAAAATAGCTAGTATATAAGTATAATATTCTCTCTTAAATTATAATTAATTAAAGAGCTTCATTTAACCTCCCCTAACTATATACACTACCTAAATAAAGTACTTTTTACACCCTTTACTTAAACCTATTAATTCTTTTTTAAAAGCCTTATATAAAAGCTTATAAGATTATTAACTAATTATTATAAGTTAACTTAATTATAAAGAACTTTATTAGTAATAAGAAGAGACTTTATTAATAATAAGAAGGGACTTTATTAATAATAAGAAGGGACTTTATTAACAATAAAAAGGGACTTTATTAGTAATAAAAAGAAGAGAAGTAGTAAACTATTAGACTAGAAGTAATAATAAAAGGATTAGAAATTAAGAGTTAATAAAAATATATATAATTAATAAGTATAAATTTTTATTTTATATAATAAGTAGGTAGTATAAATTAAGGTTAGCGTATTAAAGGTTATTATATTTATATATTAATTATTTTTCTTATATAAATATTTATTCTTTTAATATATTATAAGAAGGTAAGAGGGTTATTATAATAATTATTTAATTATAAAATTTATTTAATAAAAGAGTTTTATTTAATAATTAATTTATATTTATAAGTAATTTATAAATAGTTTTATTTTTTAAATTATAATACTTATAAATATTTATAAATAATTTAATAATAACTTTATAAGTATTATACTTTATTATTAAAACTAGTTAATAACTAATTAATATTAATTAACTTACTTATATATATAAGAAAAATAATAATAAGTTATATTTATCTTAGTTAAAAGTTTATTTAATAAATATAGAAACGTTTAATTAAGTTAGTTAAATCTTACTAACTAAGTTTAACTTATATATATATATATATATATAAACTTACTAACTTTACTTATAATAACTAATTTATTATAACTTATTATTCTTATAAAAATATATTATATTTTACTTTTTAAAACTTTAATTATTTATTTTTAACTTAATAATAAAATTAAAAATATAAATAATTTATAATTATTAATATTATATTTTAAATATTATATTTTAAATATTTATTATTATATAAAAATAATATATATACTTTTTAAATATTTATAAAATAAAAATAAAACTATATATTATTCTTTAAATAACTTTAATTTAAAATTAAATTTCTTTTATAAATATTTTAATTTTTATTATTATAAGTTATAAATATTATTTTAATATTTATATTAATAGCTTCTTTAAAGCTTATAATGACTATTCTTTTAGGTAATTAGTTAGTAAATACCTAACTATGATTAGCTGGAAGGGCGGCGGCACTTCACCCTCGCTCACTCGCTCCGCTCACTCGCTCCGGCGGCATACCGCCGCCTAAACTAGTGTAAGTCAGCTAATCAGAGGCTTCATTAGCTATGCTAGTGTAAGTCAGCTAAATAGGCTTAGTTAGCTATATAGGAAATTAGAGGAAGTAGTCTTAGTTAATTAGAAGCTCTAAAACTAGAAGTTCTAACTTAAATTAGTAGTACCCTTATTATATACTTATAAGAGGGGTAAAGTTATTAAAAACTTCAACTTATACCTTTAATTCCTTAACTAATTAGGGTTTAAAAAACTTATAAAAATAACTATTAAATCTATAAAAATTTAAGTTATATTTTAATACTATTTTTATAATAAATTAAATATTTAATATTTTTAATATAAATTTCTAGGTTTTTATTACTTTTTAGATTTTAAGAATTATAAAACCTTAAACTATTCTAAAAGAATAATATATATTTTTATAATATTAAAAATTAATTATTATTAATAATAAGATTATATAAAGTAAAAATAAAACTACTTATTATAAAAACCTTATACTTAGTTATTCTCTATTTAAATTTTCTTTAAGGGGTAGTCTTATAGAATGTTATGAGGCTGTCATGAGGCTGGGAATGTTTCAAATAATAGGCTTTAAGCGTTTTACCCCTGTGGAAGGGCCACATACGCCTTTAGACGTATATGGATATAGACCGAAACCAGTGGACATGCTCATGGTCCCAATGTGGAAATAGCCAGGGACATGGAATCTCAAGCGGAGCTGTCGAGCTTTCCGTCAAAACGAGACCAACAACAACCAACTTGCCATGTTGAGACACCACGAACGAGCTACATGTACACAAAGAAGATTGAGCATGACTACAGTCGAAATGAGGGAGCAGATGGGTGCTAGAATCAAATTCATCCTCGCATTGAGACTCTCAGGTTGGCCTTGTCTGAAGCATTCTAATAAACTTTTCCCTCCTCGCCAGTCACGGATCTGCAAGCTAGAGAGAGGAATAGCCGGTGCCCATGTGCCGTAAGATGATTGCTGCACGATGACTGCGAGTAATGCCCGGACCCTTGGCCTTCATTTTCTTTGGATTTCGCGATTCCATTTCAAGTATCAGCTTCATCAGTCCCACAAGACGTCGACCCGCCTATGGCCATTCAGTCCACAGATCAGTGTACTTAAGAAGCCATGTAAGTGCTGGCGTCAATACCCTCCTTGGGGAATTCACTATGATCTGGTTAGTTCGTGTGCAGGGAAGTAAAGGGATCATGGCACGTACGGAATGGCGACCTCGAAGCGCTTGCCAACGTCCTTGAGCACTTCCCTATCCGTGTCCTGGCTAACAAAAGAGATGGCAAGACCCTTGGTACCGAAACGACCGGCACGACCAACACGGTGGAGGTACGAGTCAGCGTCCGCGGGCATGTCGTAGTTGATGGCCAAGTTGATGCGCTCGATGTCGATACCACGACCAAAGACGTCAGTTGCGACACAGATTCGCTTGTTGAACTCCTTGAACTCCTTGTACCGACGGATACTTGGTGCAATGTCAGTCTCAATCCTGGCCAAAGACTGCAGCTGGGCCGCTTACCGCTCCTCTTGACTAACGCCGGAGTGGACCGCGATGGATGGGAAGTTGCATTCGCGGAGCAGCTTGTCAAGCTCCGTTGCGCGGACGGTGCTCTTGACGAAGATGATGACCTGGTTGAACTGCAGGTCATCAAGCAACTCGTTGAGCTTGCGGTTCTTCTCGCGCTCTTCGAGAGGCACGAAGTATTGCTGAAGACCGTGCAGTGTCAACTTGGTATCTTCGTCGACGTAGTGCTCGGTAGGGTTCTGCATGAACTTGCGGCAGATGGGCTTGATCTCGTCGGAAAGCGTGGCGCTGAACATCATGACCTGCTTCTGCTGAGGCGTGGCCCGGAAGATCTCTTGAACGTCGCGACGCATATCTGTGTTCGATTAGCGCTTGCGTTCAAGACATTTCGGTTTGCGTTATGGCGCCTTACCAACTTGGTCCAGCATCTTGTCGCACTCGTCGAGCACGAAGATGCGGACACTGCCCAGACGCAGGTACTTGTCGCGAACAAGAGCGTTCAGACGTCCAGGTGTACCGACAATGACGTGAGGGTGGGTGTCCTTGTTCTTGAGGATCTCGGCGTCCTTCTGGATGGGGGTGCCACCATAGAAGACGCCAGTCTTGATGTCTGGCATGTACTTGGAGAAACGGTTGTACTCGTTGCGGATCTGGAAAGCCAGCTCACGAGTGTGGCACATGACCAAGACCGAACATTCGCCGGCGACGGGCTCGACTTGCTGAAGAGTTGTGAGGACGAAAACCGCAGTCTTACCGAGACCAGACTTGGCCTGGCAGATGATGTCACCTCCGAGAAGCGCCTGGGGGATACATGTCTGCTGAACTGTACGGGCGATCGGAAGTCAGAAATTGGTCTCGCAAGGATTGAACGGAGGACGGAGAGGGAGTCGAAAAGGTCCGTCCATCGTCGCAGCAAAGCTTCTCATTGTCGCAACTCATCGTCGTCAATCAGTCGCATACATCAGTTGGTCGACATGAATGCCCACTCGGCGTGCCCGTGAACGACAGCATGCGTCCAGCCCAGCCTGTCACGTGGGATGGGCTGTTCTAGACGTTGTCGGTTGACGGCAAGCCATCAACACCGGACTGCCGACAGGAACCATCGCAAGACGGCGTGCGCTCGCATGAAACGTCTCGATGCAGCCGGCAGATTGTTGCTTCGGATGGTACCTGGCGGACCAGAGCAAACAATCACGTCGGCCGTCCGCCAACCTAGGTGGTCTTCCTCATCTCTCCAATACAGGAGTCAAACGTGGCGTACCCCTTCTCTCCACCCCTCTCTCGCCCACAGGTAAACGGAGGTTTCTTGTTCCTCTGTAACCAAGACGATAATGATGCGCGCTCCCCCCAAATGGACGAGACTGGATCTGACGAGAGCTGTCTTTGCTTCTGCTTTTGCTTTTGCTTGCGAGATGGACGGATCCTTTGGCATGCAAGAGGGAGCTTGCTTTGGGTAACGATAGGCTGGAATGGATTAAGATTTTTCAAGACTGACCCTCCGAAGGATGCTCGAAACCGCAGTCGGTGATGGCGCGAATCAGCTCAGGCTTCAAGAGGAAGTCGCGGAAACCGGTGGAGTGGATGCCGACGTAGGAACCCTTTTTATCGACGCTGTCGCCGGCCGCAGCCTCGGTCTTCTTGCCGTTGGCGGGGGCGGTGGTCTTTTGGGTCTCGAGCTCCTCGTCAGAGTAGTCGATGAGATCCTCCTCGGCAGACATGGCGATTGTCGATGGGTAGCTGTGGCGTGGGAGTCTCAAAAATGCGCGTGGCCAGGTTGGTCACGCAGACAGGTAAACAGAGAAGGAGTGCAGTGCAGGAACGCGGTAGACGACAGCAGAAGAGAAGAAAAAAAGGTTTTGTCGATGCGCAGATGGCAGACAAAGGGCAGGCTTGGTTGGGAGTGGAGTGGAAGAAGAAGAAGAAGGTTGAGTTCAGCTGGCCGTGCGACGGGAAAAGATGCAGGCAGTTACGGGAAGGAGGAACTTTGGGTGTGAAAGAAAGCTTGGGAATGCTCAGGCCAGGCGAGAGTGATGTTGCCAGCAGCTTGCCTGGGAGGAGCAAGACGTCTGGGCTGGCAGGGGGAGTGGTAGGGGCCGCCGGGAGGCAGCGGCGCAAGCAGGGCCTGGGCCTGGGCCTGGGGCGGGGAGCCATGGGGGAGCCATGGGAGCTCGCTCTTCTGCCTTCTGCGTGCTACCACAGCTTGCACAGGTGCCACTGCCAGTGGCCTTGCACTGCCCCAGTGGTTGCCTTTGCAAAGCGCTAGGCTGGAATCCAGATGACCGACCCACTTTTCCACAAGCAGAATCCGGTACCTCAGCGCACGGGCCAGGCTTCCGTGGGGCTTGGTTCCTGGTAGTGCCTGGTAAGGCTGCGCGCAGCAGGGAGCCGGTGCGAGAAATCAAAAGCGACCTGCCACATTCGAGCTCGAGCTCGAGAAGTATTGAATGAGACCAGGAGCGCCTCTCTTGCCCAAAACATCGTTGACAGGCAGTCGCATGAATGCGCAATCGACACGCCGCACTTGGGTTGCAGTGTCACCAAAAGAGTGTCCAGATTAAGCTCACGAGAACTCTGGTCAGGCTACTAAAAACAGTCTGGAATTCGAACGGTGACCACCTGTCTGTCACTTCTCCTGATTCTTTTGCATCCTGGCATCTTCTCACCGGCATCATGGCGAAGAAGAAAGTGCCCGGGGTCCCGAACAAATCATCGTACTGCCGCCTCTCCTTCATGTACCAAGCCGCAACATTCCTGGCGGCAGTATCGTCCAACCACAGCCAAGCCTCCGAGCCGGCTGCTTCGCAACACATGGATCCTGATGCCCACATGAAAGTTGACGGCGAAGATATCGACCACCTCAACACAGAAGAGAGCCACAGGACCGCCATGCAAACTCGGAATATGTCCCACAGGCTGCTTGCAGACTTCCGTTCCGTCTCCCTCAAGTCTCAGATCCGGGTCAGCCCGGCCATGAAGCGGACCATTTGCAAATTCTGCGACACGCTGCTTGTCGAGGGCCAGACTTGCACCTCAACCGTCGAAAACACGAGCAAAGGCAGGAGGAAGCCGTGGGCAGATGTCTTGGTTATAACGTGCCATACCTGCCACCACGCGAAGCGCTCCCCCGTCCACGCGCCGAGACAACCGCGCCGACCCTTGCGAGTTGCCACAAAAGCATTACAGCAGGGAGCAAAGCAGGGTGTTGCCCAAGAGCCGCAGCTACAGCCACAGAACGACCCTTGAAGTAACTGTCATACCTATGCCACTCCAGGTCAAATGCTCACCCGGACGACGACCTCTGTGCCAATCTGGCTGGTATGTTCGTCCAGAGTCCGGCGATGAGGACCGTGTGTGCCGTAGCTCAGCATTATCTGACTGGGCAGCTCTGTGAGAGGCGCCGCCCTAAAAGCACCAACAAGTCCCCCGGCAGCACCGACATCTGATGGGCCTTTCATGATTCCATGGCCAACCACATGATGCTAGACGCCGAGCTGGAGAAGAGGGTGGTCCAGGGCATAACGGTGCCGTTATTTATGCCCGCTACCTGGCTGCTGGGCCTGCTCCTTCACAGACTCCTCGCCGAGGACTTTGCTCGCCGCCATGAAGCTAGAAAGGTCAGTCAGGAGATACGAAATACGGCAGCAGACTGAAACCTACAGGCCACCGTGCCAGCTACCCAGCCCTCGCATGCATTCCGCCTGGACACTGGTCATGCGGAGAAGGTTCTCCGTGTCGGAGAGGTTGTTGGAAAGCTGGGCGAGCTGTGCCTGCAGCTGAGTCTGCACAAGAAGTGTCAGCCTGTTTTTTCGGGCATGATCCATGAAACCCATGCAATGCAAGACTCGGTGTATATCGTACCAGTTGTCGCTGCTTGAGGGCACTGCCCGAGGTGGCCAAGGATTGCCGCTGCGCGTTCTGGGTTGTGTTCATGATGACTAGGCCGCGTGAAAATACAATCAAATAGATGCGTTATTCTGTTCCGAAAGACCCTAGGATTCACGACATGGAGCTTGTTTCTTGGTGGTGAGCCCAGCTGCGGTGCGTGATGTCGATGTTTACCTACGTGACGCGCCGCCACTTGACCCGTAACTACAGCCTGGTACGGAGATACATAGTACCCCCGTTCCTGGCCGCCAGCTGCTGCCATCTGTCGCCAGCTGCGCACCTCCCCCCCCCCCAAGCAACAACTCTCGAATAGACTGACAGCTTTGGACGTCTCGTCGTCCGAAACAAGAGAGACTACGCATGAATGATGCTGGCTCGCCCAAACATAAGGTGACAGTCCTTCTAATTTAACAGTACCCGCGGTCTTCGTCCCGAAGATGAACGTGCCCAGGTACCGCCCAAGTACCTACCTACCTAGGTACTTAGGTGCCAGGGTACTCATGCCACTAGGAGATGCTCACACATTCATCCGCCCCTCGTGGCTCTGAGCCCGCTGGCAACGTAACAGCCAGCCATCCGACTTCTATGCGGCCTTCAGCAGCTACGGATGGTGACGATCTCGGTACCGGTCGGCGTCAACCTTGGTCAAAAGGACACCTGCAACCCGTGGCAGCGGAGGTAGGTCCCGGTGGCGACGTGGCCCCCCATGGTATGGGATGGTGTGGTATGGGTTGGGTTGGTGCACCCGCCTCGCGACAAGCGCAACACCCCAAACACCCGCCCCGGGGCGTGTGGGGGGGGGGGGGGAGAAGTGACGAATATAGAAACAGCGTGGGACCCTTTCAACCGCGGGAGAATCGCCTTGTGCCACTTCGCGCGTGCAGCAGCGACATTTGCATCATGTGCGTAACCCGCCTTTGTTTGACTACGACTCCGCCTCCTGCCCCGGAACCCCCCCGTTATACAGACACAGAGAGACAGCGGGAAAGCGGGACACCCTGTAGCACCAGAGCTCGCCATGCGTTGGGCAAGACACGAGGGCTCCGAGGTGACGTCTCAATGCGCATAAGATAAAGAAAGAGGCGGGGTGGCGACGTATCTTTGTTCTACCAAGGACCCGGGGAAAGAGGTCGTGGGCTGGATCCGCGCTAGGCGCCCCCAACATGTCGTGCCACAGGAGCATGTGGACGGGTTAGTGAGAGACATTGTCAGATGGGCCGCTTGCGCAGTGAGAAAATACGTGATACAATCTCTGATTGCCCTACATCTTCTGCATAGATCCCTACCACGGCTGACCCACAGGCTCCTGGCAGTGACTGCTTGCTATACGCGCCCCAGTCCGACCCATATATTATAGCCTCCCTTGTCTCCTTCAAGCCTCCAGAATAACTGTCCTTGGGAAGGATTACCATGATAGACATTAGATAGTTGAGTCGGGTCGTCGAGCCCCTCGCCCACGCCGACAGAACGACCCTTCAAACTGAAGGGATCGTCAACAACACCTTAGCAGGATACAGCTCGCCCGACGCTTGTTTCGTGGCAGCCAGACAGCCCACCAGTTGCCGAGTGTATCAGGACAGGGAGACTTTTGTGACCAAAATGAGAGGAAATCGAAGCCCCATTGAGTCTTTGAGTCTATTATTTCATCAATTCCAACCATCACCACCACCAAATCAAACCCTTTCATGCACATTCCAACCATTGACACTCCCTCGTTATCACGGACGAAATTGATATCCCAATGAATAATCCTAACAAATGAAATCGACTCGAAGATAATGAGACAGACCTCCAGTACATTGTAGTCAATCGCTTGCTTGTGGTCAAAATGCAAACTTTTCTGAGCAAGAATGAGGTAGACAAGGAAACCGAAGAAGGGGTAACTAGGAAAAGTGAAGGAGTGATGATGGAGAGACTGTGGTTGCGGCTTCCATAATTGTTTATACAGAGGCAGATCGTATCGTGCCACTTCCTGACATTGCTGACTCGGCCAAGGGCGTTCCTCCTCGGTTCGTCCCCCGGGGCCTGGCGGTCCTGATTGGCTGCTCGCGCATGATTTCTCCTTCCCTCGCCTTCCATGGCGTGCTCGAACGCACTGGGCAGGCAGGCAGATGGTAGATGGCGGGTGGCAGGTGGCGGGCCGTTGGGCGATAAAGGAATGTGGACGAAGAAGAGGCCGACGAGGATTCCAATGTGTTGATTGCTGTATTACCAGAAATAAAATATGTATGTTGTGATATGCTGTCTTTCGCCGCCGGGCCGTGCCTGCCAAGATGCCCCTATGTACTCTTGGATTCGATCCCTTCCCTGGCTTCATCCCTGGGATCTTGTCCACTAATATTATGTTGGTGACTTTGTGCGGTCGTCTTTTGTGTCGCAAGCCCTCCGTTATTCCCCAAGATTGGAGATCTTTGCTTTGGCATGTCCCCTTCCAGTTCGCCTTAAACGCCCCAGTCTATGTGTTCGTGTGCATGTGTTCATCGCCTCAGACCATTCATTATAGGCACCCGGCTAGTTAGCAGCAGATTGTTGTGGGCAAACAGGTCGTTCGTTGCCCTATGCGGCGTCCAAGGCAAGGTCTCTCGCCCGACCCGCAGTATCTGCCCGCTCAGGTAAATTGGGCTGGACAATGCGGGAACGGCTGATCAGTTGGCCTCTCGGGGAGAAACTGATCTGATGCTTGAGTTCCGCAGCGTCGATATACTTGGATATCGTAACCGCCCCTGTGCTCGGCCCAGAAGGCCATACCCAGGAACGCGACGCCCCTAGCGTGCTGCAATCGTAGGGCGGGCCCCAAGGCTACTTTGGCTGCTGTGTGCAGATGGCGTGTCGAGGTTGGTGGATTCACCACTGCCCGCGCTGGCGCTCGCACTCCCGGTCAGACTAGGCACATTTTTGCCCTTGTTGGGCGGGTTCGGGTTGCTCACCCCAGCGTGCTGTTCGACTTGTTGCGGCGCAACAGTATTGCCCTGGCCAGGAGGATACTGCGGCGTCGGTTGACGGACTCCGTTCGGAGGGGACGGTCTGCCGTTTACACCGGAACCGCCAGGACCACCGAGCCCGTTGGGCGGCGAGGGCCTGCCATTGCCTCCTCTCATAGACGGAGCATATCCCGGTGATTGACTTGCGCGTCGAGGAAAAGCTCCGTTCATGCCCATTGCCATCGGCCCGCCCATTGCCATCGGCCCAGCTGCACCTGGGCCCCAACCAAGGTCATCCATGCGCTGGGATGTCATTGAATTCGCCCTCGATTCCTGTTGCATTGCACTGCGGTCAACGGCACCGTACCGGTTGGAGGTGAGGCCCATCAGAGGATCCTCCAGCAAATTTTCGCGCAAACTTGCGTTCTGAGGACCTATCTGGCTCGAGCGATTTCTCCCAAAGCTAGGTCGAAAGCGACTTCCCCTTGAAGGCGGCATGGCGTCCATTTCCGGGTTCTTGCGAAACTGAGCGGCTGAAGGCTTGTGCCCATGTTGCCGATTCTTCCGCGAAGTAACGCTCATCATGTCAAAATTGTCGGGATCGATCATGGGCACCGGGGGCCCAGAGTTGGGGTCGAAATAGTCCCCATCATCGTCGTCGTCGTCGTCGTACATTCCTCCAGCCCCGCCGTTCATCGTCCTCGGTGGGGGTCCGCGCCTACCTGCCATTGGCGGCCCCATCGGGCCTGGGCCGGGGCCGGGGCCTGGGCCGGGGCCTCGCCTCATCCGCATCTCTTGCTCCCTTAAGGCCAGCTCACGCTGCCTTAACTGCAGTTCACGTTCTCTGGTAGCCAAGTCTGATGGATCAAGGTTCCCTTCGCCTCCTTCAGGGATATCGTCATAAAGCACGAGATGGCTGAATTCCTCCAGGTCGGCCCCATCCATGGATCCTCGCCTGGATTGCTGGCGAGGGTACCCGTTCGGTCCGTTCATCGGCGGCCGTCCATATCCGTTGGGCGGCCCGGCGTTAGAAGAGGGGCGACGCATGCCAGGAGGCGGTCCTAGCTGCGAAGCACCTCGGGGTCGTGGCCGTCCCGGCATGCCATTTCCATTGGGCATACCATTAGGTGGCATGCCACGCGGCGGTGGTTGCATTGACATACGAGGCATCGGTGAGGGGAAGGCCATAGACGTGGGCGAACCTGAAGGGGGTGGTGGCCCTGCTGCTGCGACTGTGTCTACCTTTGGCCTGCTTCGATTGACCACGTTTAAGTGATGCAGCATCGCGTACAGGGTCTCGATCCGAGGCACTTTGACGCCAGCCTCCTTTGCCAGGTTCACTGGAGAACCAAGATATGTTTCGACTTCCATGGGCCGCCGAGCCTGATAGTCCTGCCACATTATACTATCCGTCCCCGTCTGCTTCAACATGTCGTCGACAACTTTCTGTTTGTACTCGGCGTCAAATTTGCAGCCTTGGGCATGTGCGAGTTCGAGCAACTCTTCGATCACACCAAATATCAGGGTCTTGACGGCGGGCTTTGCCAGGAGTTCGGAGTAGCTCGAAGTCTCGAAGAGAACGCTGGCAGGATGAAAAGCGATGGGACTGGCCAGGACCATTAGCTACGGATCATATCAAACAGGAAGAGGGGTTGAACTAACCCTATCACTCGTTCGTACTGCTGTTGCCGGATGTTCGGCGACACCTTTGCGTCGACCTGGCCTGTACTTAAGGTCATAGCAAGAGCCGAAGACATGTCGTCTTGTATAGTCGCCGGGATCTCGCTGTTTCTCTTGGCCGGTCCGATCCAAAGTTCTGTGGATCCTTTGTGCTCGAACTCGCTCTGACCAAGTTGTGTGAGATCCGCACCGGCGACCAGGGAGAGGACAACATTTGTGGGATACCGCTCCTCTATGGCCGCCTCGACGCCTATCGCGTTGGTAGTGTTCACCAGGATACAAGTATGCTGGGGCACAACGACTGAGTCGATCACCGAGGCTAGGTCGTACACATCCGGTAGTGCCTTTACGCAGAGGACAACGTAGTCGAAGTGGCCATCCTTGCGGCTGACGGCCTCCTCGGGTGATTTGACCACTGTTGCAATGGGTGTCAGCGCCTGCTCCGGGGTGAACAACAGGAAAGCATGTAGTATTATTCCACGTACCCCGACGTGGCTTGAACCTTTCATTCCCAAACACTTGTGACCTGCAAGAGAGCTGTTAGGGCATGGATACTTCCTGGCTCGAGTAGCAGGGGACAACTTACTTGAAAGAGATGCCATACTGAGCTACGTGATCGTAGCCGGATTTCCAAACAAGAGTTACGTCGCAGGCGTTGGTTGCCTGTAACCTCCAGGATAAGAAAGCAGAGACGGCATTTCCACCCACTGTGATAACGTTCATCAGCTCTAGATCATCCATGTCGACAACATCAACCAGGGACGGATGAACACCGGACTCCCCAGAGGACTGAGAACCAAGAGCGCGTGTGCGGGAGTGGAGATTAGGAGGAATGCGGCATAGAAGCGGCGGGAAGGGGGGCTAGTTCAAGGGAAGAAGGTGGCCCATGAGTCCGAAGAATGCAGTGTCGCACTTGGTGAGAGGAAGCAAATGCACCGCTGCGGCGGCGCAACACAGACAGCAGATGAGGCTCGCACAAGGCATAACAAAATCGGGGTCAACACACCTGATAATATCTTGAGACGGGGCGTTGCGGGAGCCATGGTTAGCGGCCCTCTTGCAATTGGCCTAGTGAGAGGCCGAGTCTTGAGGGTGCAGTGCAGTTGTACAGCCGGGCCAGGGGGCCTGCTCGGGGTTGGTATGCAGCAGAGCTCTCGCGATCAGCAAGACGGAAGGTTTGCCGCTTTGGAAGTAGCCCGGTACCACGACTAGAAGACGCGAGGCCTGCACCTCCCTTGCCAAGTGGGCTGTGGCTGGGTTGGGCTGAGGAGTTCGGATCTGCCCTGGCGATTTTGCTCGTCGGTGCGTCTCACGATTTTGGTGGCCGGTCCCCAGGTCTCCGCGCGGCAACCCTGAGTGCCTCCTTCCTTGGTTCTCCCTCTTCCACCGCGAATTGTATGCTGATGTGGCCTTGGTCGGACGCAGGCGACTGTGTGGGTGATGGCTTATCGGGACGGGGCTGGGTGTGTCAACGCAGGACCCATTCGGCACACGCGGGCTTCGTGACGGGTTGTGCGGCGGTGAACGAGCGTTGGGTGACAGGTATGGAAGCACGACGGGTGCGGGTCTTGCGGACGATGGGTGGCGCAGATAGGACAAGCCCCGGTGGGACTAGAGCAACGACGGTGCAGCAATGAAGCTGAGGCCCGAGAGGTGCGCAAGGCAAAGAAACAAAAGGGTGGCTTTGAACGAGTGGCAAGCGTTGGACAGCGCCTGAGGAAGAAGAAAATGATGTTAGTGTAGAGTTCGGATGGGACGATGGCCAGTTGCTGGTTGCCTCCTCCGTCTCGAAAGAAGTGACCGGGAAAGGACAGGGCCAAGCAAGCGGAGAATAAAAGTAAAAGGCAGAGGAGGCAGGGCAGGGCAATGTAGAGCAGAGGTAGTGGGTAGGTAGGCACAGGCTGGCAGGCTGGCAGGCTGGCAGGCTGGCAGGTAGGGCACAGGCAGGCAGGGTGGACTGGGGCTGCGCGGGATCAGACTCGGAGGGGCTGGGATTGCCGATGTATTCAGGTTTTGCCCTGGGGGTCCTTGGGGGGTCCCTGGGGGGTGGAAGGGTGTGTGTGGTGCACGCGCTGATAGGCCGCTGCTGGCAGGCTTGGGCAGGGCTGGGACCAGGTAGTCCCGTCTGTCAATGGGTGCTGCTCACCTTATCTGAGTGCCGTGCCCTGGTGTGGTTAGCGGGCTTGTTCCTCCTGTCCTCTTGGGACGAGTTGGCGGCGTGCAGCGGTCAGGATCAACGGTGTAAGGTCTCGAGGTACCTGTGCGGTATCCCAGAGAGGCAGAGAGCCAGGGAGCCAGGGAGCAAAGGTAACGAGCGTTTTGGGCTGGCGTCGAGGGCAAGGATGTGTCTGTGGTCGGCCCAAGCAAGCGTGGAGGCCGGCCCTGAAGTAAGCTCTAGGAAACAGCGACAGTGAATGCAACGGCGGCTGCGGCTGCGTGCGTGACGAGTATACGAGTCCTTCCTTCCACAAATACACCGCAGCGTCCAGCTGTGTGTGCAGCAGAGAGCTTCGTCTGGCTGGGTTGGGCCGGCGTGTGAGGCTAGGATCCGCCGTGGGTGCGAGAGGTTGAGTTGTACGGAATGTGTGGTTTGTGAGCGTGGACGTGGACGTGTCTGGCGGGAGCACGAGCAGGCGGGTAGGCAGGCGACGAGGAGAAGGCCAAGGAAGAATGGAAGCAAGGCCTGTCTGCGGGTGGTGGTACCTGGGCAGCGAGCAGGCAGAGAGGGCTAGGTATCCCAAGGAGAGCAGAGAGAACTGGAGACCAGAGACTGGGGACCGACCCCGCCTGAGGGCCAGAGGAGCAGAGCAGATTGGGAGTGGGCTAGACTGGAACCGCCAGCACACACAGCACAGAGCTACCTGTCCAACGGTGGCCACAGGCCGCATGGGTACCGCGACGGGGACGCGGGACGGTGTGGCTCCCGTTTTCTCTTGGTTGACATTGGCAAGCACCAATTTGACGCGACAAGAAACTGGCAGGACAGGACAAGACTGGACAAGACAAAGACCGGGTGGGGGGGGGATATGGCCCCAGAAAGGCTGTGCAGATTGATGGATGTGCTTAGCTGTAATTGCGCCGACGGGGTGACTGGGCCTGCATGCTCGGATGGGCTCCCCTTCTCTTCCAGGCGTAGCTCGTGTTTGGGCGATGAGGCCAGGCTCCTCCCAGGTAGGTACTGGGTAGCTGCCCTACGGTACCTCACCCAGGTACGTACCTAGCCAAAGTTTGGCCAGGTACGGAATACTTTGGTAGACAACGGCCGTCTGGGCTCCTAGCCCAGCACCCAGCACCACCACCCACTGTGTGCGAGCTGGGCCGGTCCAGGGGATGGTGGAGGATTCATGAGCTTTATTTGATCTCCCTGCGCAGAACATGCAGCCTTCTATTAATAATAAGACGAACTGGCCATGAGCGGTCCACCCTCCAGCCGGGAGAGAAACATTTGGGGCATGATCTCGAGCATGATCCACGAGGTATGTATGTGCGCCAGCAGCCTGGGCCAGCCTCTCCCAACCGCTTGGTACTCCGTACTGCCCGGTCTGTCTGCGGTCTGTCAGAACGGATACGCTGTGGGTATACGGTGCATTGGGTGCCAGCTGAGCCCACGGGAAGCCGGCGCTGCCGTCGTCAGAGGCCAGGGGGCACACCTCCTCCCCGGCGGCCTGTGGTATCTCCTCTGCAGGGCGTACAACTTACCAGAGCCACTCGAGACCAAGCTGGTGAGCGATTCAACGCCACGCTGTTTCTACCGTGCTAGACGCGCGTTTGTGGCGCGCCCGTCTGAAAGGACGGCAGGACGGTCGCAGCTCCCCATCTCGGCACGTTCGGGAAGGGGCGACTTGGTCGTGGTATTACATTTGGCGCTGGCGATCGGCACTCCACCTTGACCTTGAACTACACTGAAGCCATGCCTGCATATCGCAGAACGACCACACCTACTGTGTACTACTGGTTGAAGGCGTCCTCGCCCTGTCGTCTGGAAGCATGCCATACATGCTACGGTACTCCGTACATGGCCCCCTGCCTGCGAGGACCCGCCCAAAACTCTCGAGTGTGGCTTTCTGGCTTCGGTGGGCCATTGGGTTTTGCCCAGCCGACTACGAGCTCCACCGAGACAATTCTTCCATCAGTCAGTCGAATGTCTCGAGTGGACATTGGATCTCATCAGCCTCCTACACGCCGGGCCACCCACCATGTTTTGCACAGTACATGGCCACGCGCTGGGGCATGCTCAGAGTCAGTTGCGTCTCCATGCGCACCCATTGCATCTGAATGGCGTGGGGCTGCTGCAGCCGGTCCAAAAATTAAGGGGATGGCGATATGACTTGGAAAGGCCCCGCGGAAGAAATGCCAGAACTCTTGCGCTCAGAGCACCCTGAGCACTCGGTATCGTCATTGTTGCCAATGCGACCATCGGTCTCAGTGCTAGATCGGTTCATCAATTTCCACCTGCGAACTTTGGTACCACCACATTTGTTGACGTAAAGCACGCACGGCAGCCTAAACGTCTTTCGGCGCCAGCCATGTCTGCGGCAGGCCTGATCCTTGCCTCCCATCCCGTCAACCATCGGCTTTCCGGACGCTTGGACGACGCGTTCGCTGCTCCTCGTCAAGACTTGTTGACTACCTGCCTTGCTGGCAGTCTTTGCCAACAAAACGGTATGCCAGCCGTCGCAACCACAAGCTCGCGGCAGCTGGCAGCTGGCACCTGGTGTGGTGTTGCCGCAGCTCGGCCGCTCGGCCTGCCCTTCCATGCCACCCACACTGCAATTAGAGTGGAATTGAACACGGACATCGGCACACCTAGTTACACCTCCTGCACCCCGTGTCCGTCGTCGAAGTAGTCAGTACCGGCCGGTGCTGGTTGCCAACAACGGGACCTCGCGGCCCAGCAACTTGACCAAGAAGTAGACATGACCTGCAGTGCGCCAGGTCTCCCGTAATTCGTGCGACCCAGGACCGAGAGACCCGGACGAGCCTGGAGCCATCTGGCAAGGAGACCCCATGTCGGGAGATGCAACCCTTGAGGGAGGGATGCGATAGACTGAACTCAATCCTCGAGCTCGCAGGCTCGTTGCCTCCGTTATCAGCTGCAACTACACATTCCTTTGCTGCCCTGCCAGCCTGCCAGCCTGCTGTCGTGTATTCCTGTCGGGCCTAGTCCATCTGTCCTAGTGGCTGCCGCACGATCCCGGTCTTTCACGAACAGGATCGAACGGACCATGTGGGGACGGACGTACTGTGGTAGCCGCGTCGCCAGTGCACATGTGGGCTGTCCATCAGGCTCCGCTTTTACCATCCTGCTCTACTCCCCCAGCATGTCTCAGGTACTTGGTACCATGCAGTCTGGCAGTCTGGCAGGCTACGACTTTCTCACGACGCCGGAACTGGGCGGTAATGCCAACGGTGAACCCAAAAGAACCACGCTGCCCCAGGGAACAGGCTCGAGGAGGGTTTCGGCTTTGCATCTTTTGTGAACAGGCCGAGCGGCCGGAACAGCGCCAACTTGCAAGCCTGCGCGGGCGCGCTTGCATGGCGGCAGCGATCAGCTTGGCAAAAACTTGGAATGGGAAATTGGGAAATGGCATCTTGCTGCAGGAGTCGCGCACCGCGTGCGATTGCCCCTATTTGTTGCCGACGCTGGGATCCCTGATTGTCAGAGTGTCAGAGTGTCAGTCGACGGACGGGCGCACACCAGCCTGACCAGTGCTTCCTTAGCCCCAGTTCTTGGTGACCGATGACCCGCGACGGTTCCTGTCAAGCCCGAGTTACTGGCCCTAGCAGCAATCCTAGGCGACTGGCACTGGCTGTCAACGGCCGGCACCTTGAACCGGAGATGGACTCAATTTCTCGGGACGCTCGGCAAGACCGCGGCCGAAATTTGTGCCTGCCGTTGTGAGTGCACGAGCTTCCGGTGTCTTCGACAGGTTCCATCAGGGCCGCAGCCAGACCTCCCGCACGCCCTGTGTGCATAGCGGTCCCGCTCAGGACCGAAGCAGCATGTGGAGACCGGGACACGTTCGACGTCTCCTCCATAATGATGCCCGATGACGCCGTGCAAGGCGGTGATCCCAGCGCACGGTCAACCCCAATGTGAGCTCCAACAGCCCGAGATCCACGCAACGGGACGGCATTTTATCAAATGATGGATGACTTGGGAGACGTGTGATGCAGCTGGAGAGGGCGACTCTTGCACTGTCACTGAACATAGAGTGCAAGAAATCGGCCACATTATCAGATGTCAGAATCGGACGGCGCCACCCCGGTTTGCCACTGCGACCAGGGTATTATTATTTTACGGCACGGCGGGCACTGACTTGAATCCGACCGCGAGGATCCAATAGCCATGGGCTCCGGAATGTCTGACGTCTGGCGAACCACTATAGCTGAGCATCGCCGTCGTTGCAGATTAGCTGTCGGGTTGCTACACGTATGAATACCTCGCGAACCTGCGAGCCCACCGCGACAGACAGCAAAGCCCCCGGACTTGGAACGCGCATGCCCGTCCCTTGCGACACGAGCGAAGGCAGAACCAAGGAAGGAGGAATACGGAGCTATAACACCTGGCAATTATCAAATCCGTCCAGCCTACTGTAGTAGTAATAAGCTGCAGATAACAAGACCCGCGCTAATAACAGTAGGACCACCCTGCCTCAACCTTGCGGAAATGACTGGAGAACCACATCAATTCTGTTGCTGACATCGGTCTGAGGACTTTCTCACCACGGCTGTTCCCCCCCCCCCCTTTCACGTGCATCATAACCGTTGAGGGCACCGCAAAGGTGTAAGCGCGGAATGGGCAGATGGGCAAATGGGGAGTGTCTTCTGTCATGCCCGCACATAGATCTCTGCTGCTACTACCTAACAATGGCACCTCGTGCAGGATCTGCACAACAGATGCCCTCTCAGCCTTGCTCCGAGCCCCACAACCCGAAGCTTTTGGTACTGTACAGTCCCAACACGCTGCTTGATTGACGGCTCTTGCGGGCCACACCGATCCAATCTTCGGGATCAGCGAGAGGCCCCGGCTTTGTCTGGAGCTCGCAACAATTCGGGATAATTCCTCGTGTTGACGAATGTCCACGATGGCGAGGGAATGATTCACTGGAAGCAAGCCAGGTGAGTGCTGCCTACCAATCGAGGCGGGCATCACGAAGTCGCGGTGAGATCTCGCCCAGTCGCCCACAGCGGACGCTGTTCTGGGGGCACGCAACGCTCGACGCCTCCACAAATTGAGTTGGTATTCACAATCCCACGGACTACGTTGTCACATCGCAGCATCTTAATCTGTCATTGCATGCTGCAATTGGCGAATCACCGCCCTAACACGCCACGAGCTAATCCTTACCTCCTCCCGTCAGCCTGTTCGCGATCGCCTCCTTGAAACAAGTTCTACCCGGCCTGGGAGGAGGCTCACCATTGGCTCTTACGAAAAGGGTGTGTGTGTGTGCACGCCCAGATGCGTTCCAGCCTTTTCAATAAAGTTATTTTCCCGCATGAGCTTGCCTACCCTCTCCCTGTTCGGATGATGCCGACCACAATCATCAGCTCTAGAAGACATCTGGTAGCAAGGAATCTGCGGCCGCCGATCGTCCCGGAGTGGGCTCGGCGGGCGGGCCACCGCCCCTCAATCCGAAGGCCGCCATATCGCATGGGGCAAGAAACGCCGTGTGTCTGCTCCGGGTCTTCACCTTGCGCCAGCTGTCTTACAGTCCCGTTGCGAGGCAGGGTAATTGAGGCAGACCTCGGCGAGGCCCCGGTCGCATACGGCGTCAACTTTGACGACATAGCTGCGCTCGCCCCGTGGTACCGAGCAAGGCGGAAGGTGCCTGGGCGACCCAAACGGTTCGGCCCTCATCAGGCTCGAGACAAACCCCATAGTCGAGTCTCCATAGGCTCCCTGCTCGCTGGCTTCCCCCCCTCCAATCTGCAAACTTGCTGTTTGCCCCAGCCGTTCCGGGTGTCTGCTGTCCCGGTATTCCAACGGGTGACCGATAGGTTGTCCAACACCCCCCATCTATCTACTGCGTGTGCTGCTAGCTGGCCGCCACGCAATGGCCATGCTGCTCTTATTTTGGCTTGTTCTCCTGTGGGCCAGGGTCGAAAACACCGAGCTGGCCAACAGTAGCATTGTGCGAGAGTGGTGCGTTTCTAGGGTACCAGAGTTTTGAGAATCTATATCCAAGGCCCGGACCTTCTCCTCCTGGCGCTGAGTTTGTGTGCTAGCTATGGTGGAGTTGAGGGATGCGCTGTCGCCCCTTACGAAAGCATCTATAATACCTGTTGTATAACGCCCTCACCACCTTTCTCCAGGCAGCTAGGATGCTCGACTGGTTGAGAGATAATTATAAGGCCCAAGATGAATCTCGGATAGCGATGGCCCCGTCTACAGCTGAGTGTCACCTGGACGTTGTCGACCTGTGAACTGCGCAAAGTCGTGCATGGTGGCTTGTCTACCCGGCTGTCAAGAATCCATGTGCATGACTACTCTCCGAATAGGGTGTGGCGCAGATGATGCGCGCGTCTGGACACGCGACACGCCGGTATAGATGAGGCCAGTTAGTAGGCCGAAAACCTCGGGTCGCGTCTTTGCCTCTCGTGCAAGACGGGAACAGGGGAACTGCGGGATGCTCTTGCGCTATGTCACTTTGCCTTCCCCGGCTGCCCGGGGGCCGTTCGTCCCTTGCACCCCGCGGCGGGCGGGCAGGCGGGATGATCTGCGTACAAGCTGAAAGGGAAGTGCTCCAAGAAAAGTCCCCTTGGATGGGCTGGGGAGAGACGTCCGCAGACGGCAATTGGTCTTGCGGCTATTTGCCACGCACGCAAGCGCACGGAGATCACTCTGTCGTTCAGCAGAGACCAGAGATGCGATCTGCATTTTTAGTCTCCCGACGTGGATGCGTGTCCAATCTCGCGGCTGCCGCCTGCTCGGTTGGGCTGCGTCAGCCACCAATCTGGCGGACATGCAGGGCCATGGCCACAATGCTGTGGTGACGGGAGTGATGGTGCCGGTGGTAGTCGCATGCCGAATGATTGGGTTGAGCTATTCTCGTCAGGAGAGGCTGAACTACCCGGACTACGTGCGCTTGGTGCTGCTTGTGGGATTACATGTCGTCGGGTTGAGTTTGAGGTTGCCACTGTAGAGGGCCCCAGTCGGAGGCAAAAATGTCAGCATGCATCCATGAAATGGATAGTATCACTGGGAAGAACCACAAACATATTGAGAACCTCTGTCGGGGCTGATGCTGCCGGTATCCTAGCGGTAACAGAGAACGCTTTGGGAAGACCAGGAGGCTTGTTACAAGACGGGCAGAGATCCAGGTAGACTTCTGCCCCAATTCCTTCTGTGGATACAACGATTCAGCTGCGTCTTCTCCTTTCCTATCCAGCGTGTCCTCTCAACCCCAGATCCCAACATTCTATCGAACCATGTGGGCGTGGCCGCCTCGCGGCGGGCCCGGAAGAAACACAAACAAACGTGTCACAGGATATGTAGGTAACCACTTAACCGAGACACAGCACCCGATGACCGACTAGGCGTTCGTATCTGTCCGACAGGAAGAGGAGACATAAGATCCGATAGGGTCTAGAAGCAATGGGGCGCTCCCCTCCCAAGGAATAGCCATTGCTTTTCCCCCTTTGGATTTGTTGGATATCTCGACCCACGCCGTCTTTCGCGAAGGCGAAGGAACACTGTAAGCTGTAGCATAAAGATGAAGGCTGCATAAGCGAGTTCATGCCATTTGCTGTCATATGCCCTTTGTAAAAAGCCACGAGATGGTGGCGAGTAGTGGCCTTGGTATTAATCAAAGAGAGTTGCTGCTTTTGTCCAAGACCATCATTGGTGGGAGTGACGCTGCAATGCGTCCCGGAGATTTCATCACTCATGTGAACAAAATTGGTAAAAGAAGACGCTCCTCTTTCGTGATCGGAATTCAAAGTACCGGCTAGAAAACACTCGCAGTAGAAGAAGCAAAGAGTAGCCCAAGGGCTCGGAACTCCGGGAAGTGATCGAGCAGAAGAACAATCGCCCTCAGCACGGCAGCTACCTACAATTACATCCTCTTTGAGAATATTGCCGCTCGAAAACCAAGCAATGGAAGCGCGTGGTAGATGTTATTAGCCCAAGCATGGAAATCACGGTGCCAAGTCACAAGGTTCATCAACGGTCGCAGCAGCAATGGCAGAAACCTGATCTCAGGGGATTTGGGTATCGTAGAGAATGGCGAAAACATCCGCCCAAAGAAGGTGTCATGCTTCAACGAGAACTCCAGAACCAAGAATCCTTCCAACAACGCCCTTCCACTAACAAGCAACCCTCGCCCGCTTTCTCCGTGCAAGGCTCTTCAGACATTTCAGCTCTTCAGACATTTCAGGCACTGGCAGCAGCCAGAAGCCTCCTTTTGATCTTGACGCAGCGCGCGAAGTCGAGCTTGCCGCCCTCGTGCGGCATGTGCTCGCCACTGGCGACGCACAGCACCTTCATGCGCGCGTCGTACCTAAGGTTAGGGAGGAGCTTGGGCGTGATGAGGAAGTACTGTGACGCGTTCTCGTTGCACGCAATCTCCACCATACGCTCGTGCATCATGCGCTCGTTGCGCGGGTCCATCCCCTGGTTGATCTCGTCAACGACGCGGAAAGGCGCCTGGGCCATGGACTGGAGCGACATGAGGTAGAATATGGTAGACAGAGAGCGTTCGCCGCCGGACTGACGGTGTTGGTCGAGCTTCTGGAGCGTCTCGTTCTCTCTGGATTTAGGCAGTATGGTTAGTGGGGATTCGTCGCAAGGAGTCGCTGTTGTGTCTGTCACATTTGTACGCACCTGAACTTGACCCTGATATCGATTGCCCACTTGTCGAAGTCCTCATCTTTGTGGATGCTGACCTCTCCGGCGCAGTTGATCTGTTCGAAGTTGTAACTGAAAGCGTCGTTGATCCTGTTGATGATAGCGTCAACCGCGGGCTCCCACGCATCTTTCAGCTCTTGGATCTGCTGATTCAGTGAATCGAGCTGCCGCTCCCGCTTTGCCTTGTCCCTTTGACCGCGCTCGATATCCCGAGCTCGCTTCTCGAACTCTTGCAGGACCCCGGGGTCTGCGGCATGGATCAGATCCAGCTTAGCCTGTTCACTCTGGATTTCAGCGTCCATTGTTTCCAATGTGAGGCCCTCCTTGATCCCGGAGAGAAAGTCCCTCCTTTCCTCGTCGATGGTGTTATCTGGGCCAGTTGATAGGAGTTCCAAAATGACGTTCTGGGCATCTTTGGCATCAGCTTTGGCCTTCTCCGCTTCGCGAACCAGTAGCTGTAGGCTATGCCTTTCTCTTTCAAGTCTCTGCACAATTTCCGAGTTTCGCTCTTTCAATGCCGCAACGTCTGATTTGGCTTCAAGAAGGCGCAGGGCAGCCTCGATTATGGCCTGGTTTGCATCACGGAGCAGACCGAGTTGCTTTCTGTGTTCCAAGGCACGTCGGGCCCTCTGCAGCGCAAGTTTCTCAGCTTCGCCGTCATAGGACAAGAGCCTCTGCTTTGTGTCCTTCAAGTCCTTCAGTGAGTTCTGTAAGCCTGATTTCAAGACATCTAAGGCAAACGTCAGCAATGCTGCATTCATCGGAATGGCGCTCGAACAAACCGATTTTGTCCGGCAGGGCCTTCCACTGGTTGAATTCGCGCTGCAAGGTATTCTTCTCCTCTTCTAGTTGTGCCTGCAACTTGTCAACTCAAGAGTCTCACAGCAACCGATACAAGCAACTTACCACCGCGTCGTTGATTTCCTGTTTCTTCTCATTCAAAGCTGCCCCCTTCGCTTTGAACTCTTCGTTCGTGCGTCTCATTTCGCCGAACTCATCCTCGCACTGTTTGAGACGCTGCTCGAGCTCATTCTTTGCCGCCAAGTCGATAGGCCCATCCGTCCAGTATGTGCCTGGTCTGATGGCACGGGACATTGTGGAGGTAGCACCAGGCCCATATTCCCTGCGACGTGTAATTCGATACATGGTGCTGCCAGTAGCGAATGAATTGAACACCTCGCCCTCATTGATCTTCTGGTACTGCTCCTCGCTGATATCTTCTAGGGCCACCCCGGTAAGGTGGAGCTTTTTCTCTGAGCACAGCATCGCAAGCACCGGCTTGGGCCCCTCAACGAAGTCCAGCGCGTAGCCATCCAGACCCATAGCTGGGAGATTCTCCTGGGGAACGGGAGAGCGGAAAGATGACAGATCCGCAGTGACTGTTCGGACTGTAACGGCCAGCTTCATTCTTGTGAAAAACTGATCAGTGAGCTCCTTGTGGTCCTTCCTGGTTTGGGCAGTAAAGCAAAGAAAGTCGTCTCTCTGCAGCAGTGACTGCACATGGTTCGAATATCGCTTGTCCTTCATGGAGCAGGTCAGCATTGGCGGACCGAAAACCTGCTTCTCGAACTTGTCACCGTTCTCTTGCAGCCATTCCCAAGCCTTTGCAACCTCAGGCTCAACCCTCTTGAGTTGGTTGAGTCTCTGGCCTTCCTGGGAATTGAGGTTCTCGAGCTCCTTTTTCAAGGTGGCTTGCTCTTGTCGCTTTTCCTTACCGCGGTCTCTTAATTCAGTTGTCGCGGCATCGAGCTCTTCCTTCTCTTCCTTATATTCGGTGTCCAGGCGGGCTCGTTGTTCACGCTGGAGAAAACATTAGCCTGTCTGCTCGATGTGCAAAGTGCTGCAGTACGGCAGCTTACAATTTTATGATTCCATTCGGCAGGGTTGAAGTCATAGTGATGACTCTTGTACTGGCCCTCAAGCTGGTTGATTTTTGTCCGAGCGTTGGACACCAGCTTCTTCTTTTTGTCCAAGGATTGCTTTTCGGCTAATTTCTTGGCCTCAAGAGTCCGCATACCCTCCTCGGTCTTCTCAATTTGCGCGACGGTCTCCATAAGATCTTGCTCGACCTCTTGGCCTCGTCGCTTCCTAGCTTCCAAAGCATCCTGAACTTTTCTCTGGTACTGTTGCTTCAGATTGACATCTTCGAGTGAGGGCGCACATCTTTCCTCGAGTCTGCGTTGTCTTTCTTGCGCCTTGCGCCTGTTCTCTCTGCACTCAGAAAAGACTCTTCTCTTCTCGTCGTAGTCGAGGACCAAGCGTGCATCTTGCAGATCAACAACTCTGGCTTGAATCTCTTCTCGCTCTCTCAGGCGCTCGACGTCAGCCTGTAGACCTTGCTGCCGGGTCTCCCAGCTGCGAAGGGTCTCCGCGTCAGTTGCAAGCTGCCTTGACACCGCCTTCTGCTCATCAAATAGCTCCTTCAGCCTATTTTGTTGCTCCGTAATGACCTCCGGGGCAGCTGCTTGAAGCGTCCTAGCCAAGAGTTCCACCGAATTCAGGCCGGCAAACTCGGCCACCCGATCCTGGGGCAGGAATTGGCAAAGGTTGTCAATTTGTATCCGCAACTGACGCGTGACGTGCTGTATCTGCTTGATGGTGGCTTCTCTCCCATTCAAAGAGAATTTCCGCGTGTTGTCCTCGCGTTTGATGACCAACTTGACAACGTAATTGGCACGATCCTCGGGCCGCTTTTGCAGTTCCACTTCCACTGTTGCGTGCTCCTTGCCATGCTTCACAAACTCGCCGAATGAGGTTGCACGGCCAAGAACACTGGCAGGATAGCCGAGACCGAGACAGATGGCACACACCAAGGAGCTCTTGCCCGTGCCATTGGGGCCAATGACCATGTTCAGGTTGGGGCCGGGAAGAAATTCAGCCTTTTCGTAGATGACGAAGTTCTCGACCTTGACGCGCACGATTGAACCAGTTGTGAACTCAGTCGCGGGCGTGCCGTTGCTGGTGACATGGCTGCTGACTTGTTGCTGTGGTTCATGGTGGTCGCCTCCAGGAAAGTCGCCCATCGTCTCTTCACTGTCGTCGTCGTCGCCGTCTTCTTCTTCCAGATGACTGGGGGCGCCTCGTCCGCCCCTGAGTCGCATTCTCTTAGAGCCGTCCGAAAGAGGCGGGGAAGACCGGTGGCCGAATCTGGCGACATCGGCATCATGGGCGTCCTCCATCTGCGATCGCGATCGCCGTCTCGCGGTGACACCGGCCATTGTGGCAATGAAACGGCAGCTGTGCGTCGGGACAAGTGGCAGAGATAAGGACGGAATGGATCTGCGAGAGACCCATCAAGCCGATGGAGTGGGAGGAAATTCTGGCAGCAAATTTCGGAAGTTGCCAGCTGGTGCCAGAACGCGGTTCAATCCGTACATTAGACAGAGAGACGCGTCGCCATTAAGTTTCGGCGGGGTCCCTGGTCCCCGGCAAAGAACGAATCAGCGAGGCGGCTCCGTGATGACTCAGCAGCAGGGGTAGCCTCTGCCGACCTCACCTTGAAGATCACCCCGTCTGCCAGGCCGATGTCCAGACTAACGCCTCAACAACATTCCACCGTATTTGGTGTGCAGACTCACCAAGGCCACCCGCCCGTCACGAGATCCCAGAGCGAATTAGGAGAAGTCAGAAAGTCACCCCTTACACCCAGGTCCTCAAGCATGAATACGAAGGTGGTCCAGACCGCGCTTGCCCTCCTGCTACGTGGGCCTTTCCGGCATTTCAGATCAGCTTCACTTTCCTGGCCTGCTGATGGCGGCCGCCGGCTCGAACCCGGCAATTTGATGATCGGTCTCAGAGGTGTCCTGATCCCCCAAACCTGAGTTGCTCTGAGGAGGTGGTGGCGACGCTGGGATGAGGCTATCAGGAAGTCGCTGTAGAACACTTCCGCCGGAGCTCAAGAGCAAGTGCCTTGAGCTGCAGAGATCACGTAGTCGCTGTCGGTTAGTTATAGATGTGAGGTTCGGGGACTTGGCCGGGCGTGTCGAAGCTGTTGTCGCAGGTGTGGATAGTTGGGCAGACTCAACATTTGAGAGCGCCGAGCCCGGTTTGCCTGGCCTCGCTGTTCCATCAGAATGGACTCATGTCAGGGCATTCCAGTGGGTCAGCAGATCAGTATTTCATGACTGGACGGACCCTGGGGAATTGGGTGGTGTGCTTAGTTCACGTTGCGTTCTAAGTTGGCGGGAAGCTGCACCCCTGACAGCCCATGTGCGCGCTCGCTTCCCTTGGTCTTCAACCTGGACCTTTCCCACGTTGAAAACCCTCAGATTGATCCTTCGTGACGTGCAGACCGAACCTCAAGCCCGGGCTTGACTGGGAGCTGGGAGTATCATCTATCCGTTGGCCCTTACTTGTGACGCGGCCCAAGCTCTGGTTTCCTCAGCGACCAAGGACCAAGCAGCCTCGTTGGGTGCATGTATCGTCCCCTCCCTGCAGCAACCGCCAGCATCAAAACAACAACGCGTGGACAATCAACACTGGGCCCCACGTCCTGGAAGCGCCCGCCGATTGCAACTTGCTCAACCCTCTTTGCAACCTCAAGTGCTCACTGTTCTACAGCCCGCCCCCCCTCAAACTCCTGAGCCCTCTACCACGCGACCTAAGACATGCGCTGAGTTCTCCCAGACGACACCGCCGCTTGGGTAACTCCAATATGGACAAGCCCACATACATTCATACTATGGCGCCGCGTGCCCCCCTCGGTGACAGAGGGAAGCGAGGCAACAGCGTACCTCCCAGCTCCCGTTCTCATGCTCCGAAGACCTACGAGAGCGAATGCAAAGAGAATGTCCCCGTCGTGGTCGCCGAGGACAACTCGGCCCCTAGGAGGCCCAACCAGGTAGCTCAGCCTCTGTCTCAGCCGCCTGCTAACCCGCGCATCTCCGTCGTTTCCCAAGCCTCTCGGGACCAGGACGCCTCGAAGCGAGACTCCCAGGTCTCCACCGCATCCGCCTCGACGGCGCGTTCCAACGACTCCAAAATCAAGACGCACATCGGGCCGTGGCAGCTTGGCAGGACCCTTAGCAAGGGCTCGTCAGCTCGCGTGCGGCTTGCGCGTCATCGACTCACCGGGCAGTCCGTTGCCGTCAAGATCATATCCAAGAAGACTGCGTACCTCTCCCAAGCTGGCAGCATCGCACAGCTCGACAAGGTCGAGAGGCAGCTTCCAGCGGTGGACGATGGGTTCCGTCGGCTACCTGTGACCGTGGAGCGAGAGATCGCCATCATGAAGCTGATCGAACATCCAAATATCATCAAGATTCTTGACGTCTGGGAGAACCGAAACGAAATGTAATGTGACCTCACTGTGGCATCCCGCTCTGAAACACAACACCTGGAATTGTGCTGACTCCGATTTCCTGCTGAAGCTACTTGATTCTCGAATACTGCGACAGTAAAGACATGTTCTCCTATATCAACCACCGCGGCAAGCTCAGTGAGCGCAGCGCGGTCTACGTCTTCCGACAGATGATGAGCGCTATGGAGTATTGCCACTCCTTCAATATTTGCCACCGGGATCTCAAACCAGAGAACATTCTGCTGTCTGATCACTACGAAGTCAAGATCATTGACTTCGGCATGGCTGCGCTCCATCAGAATGACAAGAAGCTAAGGACTGCCTGCGGAAGCCCTCACTACGCCGCTCCCGAGCTTCTCAAGCAAAAGACGTATCGTGGAGACAAGACGGATGTCTGGAGCATGGGGGTCATCCTTTTCGCCATGTTAGAGCAGAGGCTTCCCTTTGACGACCCGCACATGCCCACAATGCTGTCATTGTCCAAGAGAGCACTCTACATCATGCCCGATGCTTTCAGCCCCGATGCGAAGGACTTGATCCGGCGCATTCTCGTGACCGATCCCGACAAGCGCATCTCAATTCGCGAGATGTGGGACCACCCGCTCATCAAGAAATATGACAAGTTCCCCGGTTTTGCGCAACATCGGAAACAGCCTGTCGACATGAGAGCGAGGTCAAAAGATGCCCCCATAAATTTCCGTGACATAGATCCTCAGATTCTGCGTCCGCTCCGTGCCATGTGGCACTCGGCAGACGAGAAGGAAATAAAGTCCAAGCTCCTAGGAAAGGGGCCAAACGAGCAGAAGCTCTTCTACCATCTTCTTGTGAGCCACCGAGATCGTCTCTTGGAGAATTACGACCCGGACCTAGCCCACTCGACGAGCGATTATCACCATCTTCGCCCACCGGCTTGGACAACGCGCGTATCGACTCGTCAGTTCAAGCTTCAGGGACGAACACCATCCCGCTTCACAGTGATTTCCACCGTCGCCGACACGGAAGCCAGTGGTACGGTGCGCAGTTACGACCCATATTATGCCTCACGCGACCTGGCGCCTGGCCAAGCTAGCCACGCGAGGATCGTGGTTCACCGCGCCCGCAATATAGAGCCTGGGAAGGCAAGAAGCGTGGCATCCGGCTCTGTGCCGTCCAGGGTGGGGACAGGGTCTTCGTCAGTGGTCAGAAGGAGAGTGAACCCTTCGCTTCGTTCACGTACTGTGAGCTACGCGCCATCGCAGCGCAGCTCAATGAGTTCAATACGCAGCACTGGTCAAGGTACTACGGGCGTGCTAGTTAAGCCTCGACACAGGCGTGGTGTAAACTTTCCAAGCAACCGCAAAGACCAACCGCCAGCCAGCCAACATGGACACAACGGCAGTTTTCCGGCATCGTCCAGCATCGCGGGTGATCAGTCGACATGTGACAGGGATAACACATCACCGAGTAGCCCTCGCAAAAAGATCAAGAAAGAGCACGAATCTCCGAACTCACTCCGTCACATGAGCGCCTGCGCGCCTGCTGTAGATGAAGAGATGATCCATTTCAGCAACAGCATTGCCAGGGATTGTGATGACGCCTTCAGCAGCCTGCTCATTGGCTCGCCTTCCGACACTCTGGACAGGAACCGCAAAAGCCTGACACCCTTCTCCATTGACTTCGGTACACCTCCGGTTCAGAAGACACCGGAGCCTACTTACACAGCTCGTGCTGGTGTCAACCCTTGGGATTCGAGGCCACTGCCACCCACGCCTCCGAATGAGATCACGCCCAAACCTAAAGGCCACCAGCGTCCCGAGGATCTCCTGGAGAATGATTACAAAGACCCAGATGACTCCCTCAACGTGGCCCCTCTGGCCATTTCTTCTGCAGGCCAGCGGCGCATTACGTCCGCGCCTGTGTATGCACAGTATGCTCGTGATGCACGTCCTCTGCCGTCAATTTTCGAGTCCCCAAAGGTAGTCAATGGTCAGGCTCGGATTGTTTCAGCACCACCTCTGAGAACCTCGGCCGCGCTGCCAACTCCCAGCGACAACGGCAATTTAGAGTTCCTAGCCACGAACGCCGAGCACACGATTCGAGTTGTTAAGTCACCAACAGCAATGAAGTCGGCGGAATTTTCAATCATCCCCAGACCACTCAACGTCCGAAAGAAATCTGCAAGTGCTTCGGCCGAGGCAGGTGGGGTCCAACAGGCGTCCCAGGAATCGGAAGTTCGAAAGATGCACGGTTTCCAAAGCCGTATGCCAGACCTGCCCGAAGAGCCGACCCCGAATGGCAGGTCAAGCAGCAATGGTTCGTCTATCGGGCCCAGGAAGAAACTGTCAACGTGGTTTAGGCGCAGCTCGAGGGCGAATTCCAAAGGCGAGATGGAGGAGACTGCTGATGGTTCGAGGGTGTGCGAGGATCAGCGTGACGAGGCGAATTTAGTCACCACCAATCCTCAGCGTTTCGAGTCTATCTTGACAGACATGCCACCACCCACGGTGACAGCTCAGCCCCCAAAGAAGAAGAGCTTCATGTTCTGGAAGACCTCGCGGAGCAGTAATCGAATGTCCATTGCAGGTAGGGATCGGGACCCTCGGTGCATTATTCCGTGGGCAATTTTGCTAACACGTCAAAGCCCCAGATTATGAGGATGAAACCACCAGCTTCGACGCCGCCCATTACCTGTCCAGAGCCCCGTCAATGACCCAGGATGGCTATGGTGACAACGCCGACGCTGCTGCCCGGAAGATTGAGCCGCGGCAGAACTGGCTGGCCCGTCTCTTCCGGTTCAAGCCGTCCAGGCGATATCTGTGCCTGCAGATGTCCCGCCGTCGCGCCCGGCAGGAGGTCGCCATCTTGTTGCGGGAGTGGCGCAAATGGGGCATACGAGACGTCCAAGTTGACAAGGAGCGCAACATTGTATTTGCGAGGGTTGGCAAGAAGAACTGTGAGTACAGCCGGTCCAGCGGTCCAGGTGCCATGTTGTTCGGGTCTACAATCCCCGAGAAGAGCGGCATTGACTGACACTGCGTATGTATTAGTCCTGAATATCAAGGAGGTACATTTCGCTGTCGAGATCATCACGGTGATTGAGCACGGCAAGCGCAATCACCTCAGCATTGTCCGTTACACACAGGAGAAGGGGGCCGCGAGCAGTTTCCACAAGGTGGTCGACACGATGCACAGCATCTTCAGGGGACGGGACCTCCTCGTCCAGGACAGCAGAAAGGCCAAGATGATGATCAAGACGCTCAACTCTTGAGATTAGGAGGCAGAGCCCTCTTCGTCTTTGGCCAGCCACTTGCCATGCCCATGCGGTGGCGGTGGCCTTGCTGTTTGTGGTTGGGCCTTTTGATTGTTGGTTGACGGCTAACAGCCAGACTTGGATACACTCCTGTATCTCAACCTGCTAATTCTGTATTTCGAACATCTTCCTTGGACTCTCAAGGGGACACATCCCGGACATGCATGACTTGGGCTGGCGATCGAAGTGTCTCGAACCCAATGGTAGACAAAACCCCGAATGCTACGAAAAAAAAAACCCCCCAAAAAAAACCAAATGGAGAGACAGTCGGGGTTAATAGGTTGAAGGAAAGGCTCTGGAATAATGCTTCCAAGCCGGTTGGAAACCGCTTACATTGGATCACCAGGACGCACTGTCGCTTAACAGAAGCATGCTTGGCGTCTCAACACTTGCGGGCCAGAGGCACAGGGACACACTGTGACGAGTTTGACACGAGGACCAGACTTCAATCCGCCTTGGTTGTCGGCGCGGTTGTTATGAGTGCGGAAAGAAAGAGGGGGTGAGAAGGTAGTGTAGATAGATTCAGCGCCGTGGTAGTTGCTCCCGAAAAGTAACGTGCATAGCAGTTTTGCACGGCTTCTTTGGTCCCTGCTCTTGTCCAGCTTGAAGAGCAGGGCCCCGACCACTGACTGACTGCTCTGAGCTGATGATAGGCAGAATTGGTAAAATCATGTTTTTTTTTGTGTAATCTTGAGACTGAGTCACGCGTGCTGTTGGAGGTTACAAGGTGTTACTCGATTCGAATTATGTATGTTCTCGGCAGCAGGGTAGGCTTGCAAGGCGTTACTCGATACCAATTACCATACCTACCTAGGATGTATAGTATCCTGTGGCGATAGTAAGCGAAAGGATCGGAGAATATCGGCCCAAGGAGGTCGACCTCGGCTCGACTCATGGGGTTCACCGGCTTCGGCAGTATGGAAGTCGGAACTTGTCCGAGCGTCGGGCGTTTGCACATCACACCTTGTCCCTCCCATGTGCGTGTTAGTCGGATTGCGTCCCGGGCTCGGCTGCAGACCCGGTGGCCCAGCCAGGCCAACAGAGCCCAGGCCATGGGAACGGGAGCAGATACGACATCGGCTCGAGGAATCTGGGGGATGTGGACCGCAGGTTGACTACCTAGGTAGCTACCTGACTACTAACACATGCAGAAGAAGGGTCCCGCACCCGCACGCCCACGCCCACGCCCACGCCCACGCCCATGACAGCCGCGCCCTCAACACCAAGCTGTGGCCGCCTGTCACCATCTCCGGTCATGAGAATTGGTCAAGACCGAACCGCGGAAGCCGTGCTGGAATGTCACGCAAATCTCCCATGGTGACAAATTGGGGACAGGATAGGCATGGGTCCAACCCTTGGCCTCGGAGCGACGCTCAGTGCTGGCTGGCTGGTAGGCTAACGACCTCTTATGACGACACGGCTGCTCTCTCCAAACTGCCAGAATGCCCAACCCCCAGGACCCCCCCCTCACATGCCAATCCCAGAGCTGTCGAGGTGAACCTTGCTTGCCTTGCAGTGCCACCCCAGCCCTGCAAGCACTTGGCCTCCCCTTGTTCCCCTCCCCCACATTATCACAAGCGCATCATCGCATCCGTCGCCGGCTATCTGGGACAAGTACCCAGGCACGAAACTCCCTCTCACCCGAGACGTACCGACGGCCAACCCGCCCATTGACCAACCTTACATAGACTCCGAGTTTGCTCCCCGATCCACGATCCAGGCCTCCACAACAAGGAGAAGGAAGCACACCAGACCATCACCCAAAATACCGGACAATCATCTCGCCTCCGCCCTTCCCTGCCAGTCACTGCCGAACCAGATTTATATTCCTCCTCAGTCTCCTCCGTCATCATTGATACCCTCGTGCCCTCCCCACCCCCTTGCTGTAGCATCATAGCCACACTTATAAGCTCCCTATTTGCTTGTCGTACATTATTGGAGTCTCAACATCTCTGCAACGGCTGGACCTGCTTATTGTTAGACCTGCACAAGACACCAACCGACCCGCCCAAATTGTATAATACCCCTTCTAAGCAGCCATGGCCTCGACCGATACCATCCTGCAGGGCGTCAACGTCCTTGGCGCCGTCAAGGACGAGCACAAGAAGATCCTGACACCCCCAGCGCTGGCCTTCCTCGCCCTGCTGCACCGCTCCTTCAACAACACGCGCAAGCAGCTCCTGGAGCGCCGCAAGATCCGCCAGGCCGAGCTGGACAAGGGCAACCTGCCCGATTTCTTGCCCGAGACCAAGCACATCCGTGACAATGCGACCTGGAAGGGCGCACCGCCCGCACCCGGGCTGGTGGACAGGCGCGTGGAGATCACGGGGCCCACGGACAGGAAGATGGTGGTGAATGCGCTCAACTCGGATGTGTGGACTTATATGGCTGATTTCGAAGGTGAGTCACCTTGAGACCTTGAGTGGTTTCTACTCCATTCTGGCCCCCGCTGGGATGCGCCGCGCGTGGCAGCGGTGCCGGTCTGGAGCTGACGAGCCACGGGCGGTAGACTCGAGCGCTCCCACGTGGGACAACATGATCAATGGCCAGGTGAACCTGTATGATGCCAACAGGCGCCAGGTCGACTTCAAGCAGGGTCAGAAGGAGTACAAGCTCCGTACCGACCGCACATTGCCCACGCTCATCGTGCGGCCCCGAGGTTGGCACCTCGAGGAGAAACATGTGACGGTCGACGGCGAGCCCATCTCTGGCTCCCTGTTTGACTTTGGCCTGTACTTCTACCACAACGCCTTCGAGTCCATCAAGCGCGGCACCGGCCCCTACTTCTACCTGCCCAAGATGGAGTCGCACCTCGAGGCCCGCCTCTGGAACGACGTCTTCAACCTCGCCCAGGACTACATTGGCATGCCCCGTGGCACCATCCGTGGCACCGTGCTCATCGAGACCATCCTGGCCGCCTTCGAGATGGACGAGATCATCTACGAGCTGCGCGACCACTCCTCCGGCCTGAACTGCGGCCGCTGGGACTACATCTTCAGCGTCATCAAGAAGTTCAGGCAGAACAGCAACTTTGTGCTACCCGACCGTAGCGCCGTGACAATGACGGTCCCCTTCATGGACGCCTATGTCAAGCTGCTCATCCAGACCTGCCACAAGCGTGGCGTCCACGCCATGGGCGGCATGGCTGCCCAGATCCCCATCAAGGACGACAAGGATGCCAACGACAAGGCGATGGAGGGCGTAAGGGCTGACAAGTTGAGAGAGGTGCGCGCCGGGCACGACGGGTACGTGTCTCAGCCTTTCCTGTTTACACTGATTTGGAATATCATGCCGGTATTTCGGATAACGAGAAGTAACTGACGGGAAACCAGAACATGGGTGGCCCACCCCGCCCTGGCATCCATCGCCGTCGAGATCTTCAACAAGCATATGCCAACGCCAAACCAGCTTTTTAACCGCCGTGAGGACGTCAAGATTGGCCAGAATGACCTGCTCAACATGAACGTCCCCGGCAAAATCACTGAGGAGGGCATCCGCAAGAACCTGAACATTGGCCTCGGCTACATGGAGGCGTGGGTCAGGGGTGTCGGTTGTGTGCCTATCAACTACCTGATGTGAGCTCCTACCCGCCATCTCTACCTCTTTCTGAGCACACACTCGCTCTCCACCACTCATCGTTTGAAGAGTTCGGTTGGCTAACCAAGACGCAAAAACACAGGGAGGATGCTGCCACTGCCGAAGTCTCCCGCAGTCAGCTGTGGCAATGGGTCCGCCACGGTGTGACGACTTCAGAGGGCAAGCGTGTCGACAAGGCCTACGCCCTGAAGCTGCTCAAGGAGCAGTCCGATGAACTTGCCAAGAAGGCCGGCCAGGGCAACAAGTTCCAATTGGCCGCCCAGTACTTCTCAGGGCAGGTTACCGGCGAGGACTATGCTGACTTCCTGACATCGTAAGTTGTTATTGGACCCTCTCGTCCCTCTTTGACCGGTTCTTTTTGTCGGCCGTGGCTCGAACTGACACATGGTCTATAGACTGCTGTACAACGAGATCACCACTGTTGGAAACGCTGCACCGGCATCAAAGTTGTAATCTAGTGCACGAATGTGTGCAAACGGGAGTTGCGCCGCTTTGATTCATGGGGCAAAATCTTTTAACGAAGCATGTACGAGCTGCAACCCAACAATATTTATACTATTTTGCTCTACAATTCCTGATCCATGTGTGGGACCCTACTTGTTTGCATCTCTGGCTCCTTACTCAATCGACATGTTTCTACGGGACGTCATATGCATTGATATAGTTTTGGCGACTGTTGAGACGAGCAACTCAGACTTCAGGTTTTAGGGAAAAGATACCACCGGCCATCCCATTCATTCAATTTCAATTTGTTTCCTGCAGATGTAAAGGATTAAGCCAAGAGGAAAGCAGATACACCCATGATCTCTGGCTGTGAGTTTGACATGACATAGCCTAGCTAGAGTTTCTAATCAAGGATCGTCAAGTGATCATCATCTCAGTATCAATCTAGCCCCGTGGCCACCAGGAGCAAGATGATTGATCTTGTTTCTTTCCTAGCCCAGGACGTCATCCTGAGGGCTCTTGTCTCACACCCGTTCCGGCTCTGATGCGATTTCCTTTTGCTCGATGTGGTTGCTACGCTACCTTCGGTGGATGTCGTGTGAGGCAGGGAAGGATGTACCAACACCATCTGAGCATTATTATTTTCCCCTCCTGGCATGGTGGAGACTTGCAGACGTCCTTTACTGGAAGGCATTGCATCTACGGGCCTAGCACTATCACGAGTGGAGGTTGGGACAATGTGATCCTACAGCAGGCGTAGAGTAGGTCTTCTTCTGATACTTCCTAGGTATCTGAGGAGGTTTGAAGTAGGTTTGTTCAGAGGAGGATATGCCTGTTTCGTTTACCGCAGTCGTTCTATTTTACAGGTGTCGACCGGAGACGAGACCAAACATGAATATTCTCTCACTGCAAAACACATCTTGCTCTGAGCTATCCACCTAGGTATGGACATCAAGCAAGCAACAGCACTTCTGTCGTTCTAAAAATTGTCACAAGGTGATTCAGCTTTTCCGTGCCTATCAAGAAATCTAGAAACTCACGGAAGGCTGAAAGTACTGGCAAAAAGTCGACCTCGACGCCGAGCAGCAGTCATCATTGATCCCATGGAGTGCTACCCAGTCACGTCTGCATACCTCAGTCGTATCAGCTCGCTAGAACATCTCTGAACGAGGAGGCATGCTCGGACGTGATACCCCAATGTGTAAGTTACATGAACGGTCGATCTGAAAGATTACAGCATCCGCGAAGACAGGTCATTCCAGAGTCAAGTGTCAAAGGGCTTGACCCGGTTGAGTCCACGGGTAGGCTACCTTGGTCAGCCTCACAAAAAGGTGACGACGCAGACAACTTTTGAAGCAAAAAGATACTGGTAGCATTTCCCGAACCACCTGAGAGCAGCGCACGCATGGTAGATCGTCTTTTCACCCCTTGAATACCCATCATTCTCTGCATACTTATGTCCTCCAAGTGTAAAACATTTCAGTTGGATTTCACATCGTTGGCTACCGACACAACGGCAATGAGTCTGACGTGAGCTCCATGCAGTGAGCCAGTGTCGCCACCTGGGCACCTGGGCAGCCCGGAATAGGGCCGGCGGGAGAGCTGGGACCAAGAACCCTGTCGGCTTTCGAGCTTCAAAGAGTCTTGCGTCTTCCTCGGGTTGTCAATATATGGCGTTGAAGCATTTCTCTGGGTTCGTACCAGCTCCTGCTGAGCTGGGATCACAGAACCTTGGAAGTTTATGCGGCCGACCCTACGCGTGGACGCAAGACCTTCCTTGGTCTTGCACACGACGGCCAGCGACCAGAACAAAGCCCAGGAGAACGTTCGGGGACTCATTGCGAGCCATCTGGACGAGTAAACACAGGTCTAGAACACCAGAGGAGGTGGTCAGGGCTCACTCATCGTATTCGCTTTGTCCAAGACATCAGGTGCTTTGCGCTGTCCATGACACAACCATCCAGTTCCTGTGTATACTCGCCGTCCAGGCATCAAGTATGGGTTCCACGCCGTGCATCTACGCGAAGCCTGAGACAACATTATTCTACCTTCCATTCAAAGCCTAACTGCCGAGTACCGATCACCCACCCTCCACCTGACGGCCGACTGAGTGGCCGCCTTGGACCACCGGCTCCGATCTCTTCCGCATCTTAATCAATAATGAATAGTAATGGCTATACAAAGAAATCCCACTTACAGGCTCAAGGGTGGTAGTTGGAGAGCAGTCTGCAGCAATGCCCAACCCCGTAGCGAGCACTCCGTGGACAGCGTTGAGGCGAGCCCGGGGTCCTCTTGTACACATGTAGCACACAGATGGGATCTTCCGAGCCAGCTCGGACAATTTTCAAGCCCCAGAACTGCCTCCACGAGTGTAATTACAGGCCCAGCCCTGTCGTATGAAGATTGTGAGGTGTGAGGATGACGGCTGGCCTGGTAATACGCTGAAGATGGAGCTGGACCCTGATCGTGCCAAGAGGCGCCGCGATGAGAAGGAGGCGACCAGACCAGTTGACCGGTTTGGCGGAGCGTGGGGTGGCCGCGCTGAAGAAAGAGATGGGGGTTGCTTCTCATTAATCATCATGGGACCACCAGCTGACATCCTACAAGTGATAGATCTGCACGGGAGGCTTGCTGCCGGCATTCATCAGAATACCGCAGGGCTTGGACGAGGACCGCATGGGAAGGCCTGGATTCCCTAGTCTGATCCACGACCGTCCTCAACGCGAAGATGTTGTTCTAGAGACTGACTGCACCGGACCGGGGACTTCGCAAATTGTCATCAATTTGTGCCTTCCAGTCGGCGACCCGTATATCCCCCCTCGCACATGTAGACGAAGCGCGAATGATATCGAGCAACCCATCGCGGAGTTCCAACCCAAGCCTCACTGGCCGAACCGCGACATCTCAACCTTTGCGAACTTTGGCGAAAGTATGGATGTCTAATATTATGAACGGAATTGGGTCAATCTGCAAGGACTTGTCGGCTGGTTGGGGCGCGATGAGGACGAAGACGCATCCGCATACGGGGCGTGGGGGCTCTTCGCCACACATGTTCTCGGAGGGCTCTTCCCTGTCAACTGTAATTAAGAGTACGAAGTTGCTTGATATGAGGGGTCATACATTCCAGGGGTCTAACCATTCCACTCGCAATGCCCGTGGGTTTTGGGCAGAAATGCGTTCCTGGCCTGTTGGATGTTGATGAGTGTCTGCAATCCAGCCCGAGCTATCGACATAGAAGTGCGACCGCTGTAGCTTCTGGAATGTGGAATCTCGGCTGGACTTCAGGACCCAATGACAGACATGTGGAGCTCATCCCCCCTCTGTCCGCGCACAAGCTGAAAACAAGAGACATCTGCAGCAGGGGGGCGGTGAAATTCCGCATGACCTCTCTCACCGAGAAGCAACATTCCTTCACCTCTCCAGGAACCCAGGGCGCTCCCAGCGGGCCTCAGCAATGCACTGTACTACTGGTGCCTAAATCCAAGCACGAAAGCCTCAATACTCCCATCTCATTAGGATGGTATTTCGATCCAGGCTTGTCAAACAGGATCGCTCGTATCTGGCTAGAGTGAACATCTCGCATACCGAGCATCTGAGACAGCAACTGTAAGTAGCGCGGGAGGAACCCGACTAGAACGCAGCAGCTGGGGATACACAAGATCCCCGGCTGCCGGAATATTTGATGCTGCCTTTGGGTATCGAGAGCAAAATGTCTCAACCAGCCTCCGAGATGTGGCCCACCGGCGGCTTTCGGCGACAACCAGGCGCTGACAGCCTTGTCACAAAAGGCAGTTAGGGCCCTCTGGTTGTCTATCGATTACACTACCGTGTATCACATTGGCCTGAGTCCGCATTGACCTAAGAATAGGTTGTGTAACTCACCCACGAGAGTCGCAAGTGACATCAAGGACAATGGCGAGTACCGACATCGCCCGCCTTTTTTCATGTTGGAGAAGGAAAGAAAAAAAAGAAAAAAAAGGAAGGCAAGTCCAAGTTGATGGGAAATCGTGCGGAAGGGCAAATGTAGGTCTGGAGCAGGGTAGGGGATCGGCACAGGGATGTCCAGACCCAAATTGCTGGATCTCGTGGTTGGGTTCGTGGGGAGGGAAGGCATCGAGCAACAGCGCCTCCCACTAGCCTCGTTGAAAGTGATCTGCGTCGTGTGGCTCTCCTCGATGATAGCGCCAAGCTTGACACCACCCCAGAGTGCACGAAACACAACCGACTTTGACCTTGTTGTGTGTCGGCTACTACAAACATCAAAGAAGCACGTGTATCGTCCAATTGGGGTTGTTGAACATCGAAGGATGGTGGTGGGCAGCCCACGTCCTGCACATTGATCCTGCTCGCTAAAGCCTGCAGTACTAGCCTGCAGCCGCGCGGTAGAAGGAGAAAGACATGCCATCGGCGCCCCGGGCCCGATGGTTGGGGCATACCGGAGGTGGAGGCTGGAGAGAGCCAACAACTATCAGCCGAGTCACTTCAGCGCCAGTGCCTCCTCGCCAACGCTCTTCTCGTTTTTGACAGACCTGCTCGGACGGTCCACCAACTAACGATACGCTCAAGTCAGTCGGAGCATACCTAGGTATGGTGACAATGTGACTGTCACTAGTTCCCAAAGACAAGATACACCTCGAACTCGTCTCCCGTGGCGAGGGATAGAAATTGGCGCCGGATTGCTGAAATGTGCTGCCCGGTGAAGTTGAGCACCGCCAACAGGACAAGCAGGAAGGGATGACTGAGCTCACCAACGGCCAACGGGCATCTCTGAGAGATGCCCGGGGCAGAATTGAACGCCGGAGGCTGTATCGGTTTGCCCGGGCAGTTTTCTGCGCAACAAGGCCGTGGCCGTTTTCCTGATGATTCGCTCGTGCTGTTTCCTCCAGCCCCTGTCACACCAAACGCACAGCACAGCTGCTCGCTGATTGTGTCTCGAAGGGCATCTTTTGCACCGGCTCGGCAGTCAGGTGTGTTTGGGCGTGGGCAATGTCAACTACGGTTCCCAAAGATCTGGGCCCGAGCCTCCACGCAGGCCACCTCATGGGCAATCGTCCCACGCAGCTGGCAAGGGTTTCCAGGGTCCTGTACTTCTGCAGCTAAGCTGCACCTATTCACATTGTGAGGCTTGGCGACCACAGACCGACCGACTGATGCGGTGGGCCACTGACCGCCATCCCGTCTCCATTGCATGAAAGACACGGAATCTCGCACACACTAGATTAAGTCGTCATTTGTATCTAGCGTGTACATGGTTCTTGACCCTCCGCAGCGGTGTTTTGCACTAGGCAATGGAAAGAGGGGGCAGGTGATGGCCAGTTTCCTCGAGGTGCCAGCTGGACGACACCCCA